GTCCTTTTCTCTTGCCTTTCCTCCCAGTTTCGTGGGAAGAGGTCCCTCTGCTCCACGGGGAACCCACCCCGCCAGCCCGGCCCACCCACCATTGCCCTCCAGCCCCACGCAGACTCAACCCAACTCTCTCTTCCCTGGAAGGTAGAAGACATAGGATCATAGAACAGGTTGGTTTGGAAGGGACCTTCAAGATCATCTAGTTCCAGCCCCCCTGCCATGGGCAGGGACACCTTCCACTACACCACGTTGCTCAAAGCCTCATCCAGCCTGGCCTTCAACACTTCCAGGAATGGGGCAGCCACAACTTCTCTGGGCAACCTGGTCCAGTGCCTCAGCACCCTCAGAGGGAAGAATTTCTTCCTTCTATCTCATGGAAATCTCCCCTCTTTCAGTTTGAAGCCATTGCCCCTTGTCCTGTCACTACACACCCTTGTCCAAAGCCCCTCTCCTTCTTGTAGCCCCTTTAGGTACTGGAAGGTGCTGGGAAGTCTCCCTGGCGCCTTCTCTTCTCCAGGCTGAACAGCCCCAACCCTCTCAGCCTGACTCCGTAGCAGAGGTGCTCCAGCCCTCAGATCATCTTCGTGGCCTCCTCTGGACCAGGTCCAACAGCTCCATGTCCTTCTGGTGTTGGGGACCCCAGAGAGACCTTTTCTTCAGTAGGTGAGTATGACTTTTCTGAAGCTCAACCCACTTTCCTGGACCTCTTTACTCCTATCCCGGCCAAGCTGGAAGGAAAGCCTCGCTGGCAGGGCTGCGTGCCTTTCTCCCTTCCCCACAGAACAAGAGCAGGTGGGTGGCCTCAGCTTTCAGCTCCAAAGCTCAGCTCCAGAGAAGATGCTGGATAGGAAGGATTTGCACCCAGAGGATCAGAAGGCTTGAGCAAGCCCATGAGCAGTTGGGTTCTGCTCCACTGCCATGGCTCGGCATCATTCACCTCTCCTTCTCAAATGTGTTCCTCCGGCCTCCCCAACAAGGAGCAGCTGTAACCCACAGCTGCAGCATCAGGTCCAGGGAGGTAAGGTCAGGCTGGACACGCGGCCATGCCATCCTGATGATTTTCTGCTAATACATTTAAAAAATAATAAGAAAAACTAATTTCCCCCATCCCGCAACCCCTCCCCGGGCACACAGCCCTGCATGCGGCCCTGGGCACAGAATCTTCTGCCTACAGCCCCGATGCCACGCAGGTGGCACCACTGGGCTCGACACACCAGGCCAAAACCCAAGAGCAGTGATTTTAAGGAGAAACATTAAATTACACCATAATAAGCCCTGGGGTGTAGATGGGGTGTAATAAGCCCTGAGTAGATGCCCCCCTAAGCGAGGGGCTGCGGGGCAGAGAGGCAACAACAGCAGAGGACGGGGCAGGACTCGGGGTGTGCAGAGATTTCTTATCGCTCCTGTTTACACTCCTGAGATGTCTCCAGGTTTCTGTCCACCAAGGAGAGCATGATGGAGATGCATTCCCAGATCCTTCCATCCCTGAGCCCCACACTCTCAGCTGGTGCCTCCAATGGTGATGGTGACCCCTGAGATGGGATGGGGAGCTCCTGCACCCTGGATCCGACCTCCTCGGGCTCATCCCTCGTTTGCCGGGCTGGTAAGGCTCTCCTTGGGCAGAGTAAGGCTTGGGCGCACCAGGTGACTGGCTGTGTCAGGGACATGGCATCTCCCAAGGGAGTAGGTGAGGGTTGTGTGGGCACGTGGAGCCCACTTCTGCATCCTCGCGTGGATTTGTAACCCCCTCCTCCTGAAACGTGGCACAGATGTGCCTTCAGAGCAGGCGCAGTGCCTGTGCATTGCAAAAAACAGCTGAAAAAGCCCACTTGGAGCTGAGACATCACCCTCTTCTTCCTCCCCTCCGGGGCTGGATTGTGACCCAGGGTCCCTGAGGACCTGCCAGCACCTCTGTATTAGTGCTCCGGGGGCGCTGAGCACAAGGCAGGGGCTGGATGATCGGAGGAGGACTCAGGAAGGGACCAGCTCCCCCATCCTGGGGAAGGGGCACCTGGGATGGACCCCCTGCACCCCAGCCCATTCCGCCCCATGCCCTTCCGGGTGCTGCTGACCCGGGTCACCCTGCCTTCCCCTGGATGCCTCCCCATCCCTGAGGGTTCCCAGCCCCCGGTTCCGGCAGGGTCACCTGGATCCCTGCCTGTGCAGGCTGGGGGCTGTGGGGGTCCCCCCCAGCTGGGGCTGATGCCAAGGGGACACTTTTGGGGACTGGTTGGGAGTTGCAGGGTCCCAGGGGGTGAGCACCTGCTGGGAGGATGCCAGGGGGATGCTGCATCCCCCCGATGTCGAGTACCTGCCGAGAGAATGCTGCATGGGGCAGGCTGGGCAGGGGGGGCCAGGGCAGGGACAGTGCATTGGGTGGCACTGGGGGACGTGATGCTGCCATGTGGCACGAGGAGCTGCCCAGATAGCCCCGACATCTCCTAGAGATTTGGGGTTCCCCCAGCCACGTCAGTAGTGCCAGCCCCCCACTGCCAAGGGCAGGAGAAGCAGAGAGGTGCTGCCTTCACCCCGGCAGGGAGCAGGCAGGGAGCGGGCAGCCCTGGGCAGCCCCGTAGTGTTACCCCAGGAGCTCCGTGAAGCTGGAAGCAGGTGGCAGCCGTCACCCCGGCATGCAGCGGATGGATGCCGATGCACCAGGAACTTCCTAAAATTACATCCCCGCTCTGCCAGCACCCCTGAGCAGGGCTGTCGGGGCGCGGAGAACCCCTGGGCACCGCCAGGCTGCCTTGGCAGGCCATGGCATGTCCGCAAGGCCAGTCCTTCGGCCCTCCCCGTCCCTCCTCCTCATCACGGCCAGCCCCGCCCCTCCCCTGCAGCCCGGCTGCCTCTTGGCTGGAACCCACATCGAAAATATAAAAGGCTGTTTTGCTTGGAGGCGTCCGGAGGATCCCGGCCGAGCTTGCCATGGGGAGCAGCGGCGCTGGGGTCGCGTTGCTGACGCTGGCGCTGCTCCTGCAGCCCACGGACCAGTTTTGGCTCTTCAACGTCCTCTTTCCGCCCACCACCACCCCAGAAGCTCCCCCGACCAACAGCACGCCGCCCGTGGTGCTCGGTAAGGTCACGCCAGCACGGGTACCACGCGGGGTACGGGTGGGTGACCCGGTGCCACGCAGCCCCCCCCTTGCCCTCGGAGCCAGCGGCGAAGGTTGGGGTACCGTGCTGCCGGCACTTCGGCAGCTCTCGGCTCTCCAGCTCTGGAGCTGGAGCCACCAAGGTGGGGGGGATGACACACAATTCCCAGGTCCCCTCCCATCCACCAGGCTGGGGATGTATGGCTGTCCGGAGTTTGGGGTGAGGGGGAGGCAGGCTGGGCACCCCAAAAAGCAAACAGGGCTCTGAAACCTCCCAGCTGGCCCAGAGGGTGTGTTAGGGCTTGCTCAGTTCTGGGGGGCTGGCATCCACCACCCCTTGGTCTCCACGAGCCCACCCTGTCCCGTGTCTCCCATCACTCCCAAGCGATGGGAAAACCATCCTTGGGGATGGGGGAGCTCATCTCGCATCCCCCCCAACAACCACCCTGCCTGGGGGACAGCGAAGAGGAGAGCGAGCCTTCGGCAGAGGGGGATGGAAAGGGTGGGGCGTCCCCGCGGGGACGGGGACCACCCACCAGCTGGTACCTCCATTGGGCCTGGCTCTGCCTCCCTCTGCCCCTGTGCCATCACCGGGCACTCGAGCTGGGGTTGTGCCATGAAACCTCTGCAGAGCAGAATTGGAGAAGGTTTTTTTTCTCCTTTTTCTTGGATCAAGCCGAGTTTCCCCTTTGAAAAGCGAAGAGAAAAAGCAGAACGTCCCTGCCGCGATGCTGAGGGCTGACCCCCCCACTCCCTTCCCAGAGGCACCGGAGAGCAGGGGATGGTGTCCAGAGTCTCGGTGCCCGGGGGCAGGTTCTGCTTGACCGTGCTGGTGGCCAGGAGACCCAGGTGGCTGCCACCAGGTGCTTCTTCTCCAGCTGACCTGTGATGGTCAGAGCATCTCCACCTTCTCCTGGTACCAGCCCCTGTCCTGTGCCCAGCCGCAGCCAGCTGTCCCATGAGCTGCTTGGCATCCGTGTGTAGCCCATCCCCCTGGAGCGAGTGTCCCAAAAACCCCCAGTGCCCTTGGAACCACCGATAACCCCTCTGCCCCCACGGGAACTCCCTTAATAATTACCTAATGTCCTCTGGAAGGGGAGGCACAGCTCAGGGCTGTGCGCCGGGGTCGGGGGTGCCGGCGGTGCCGCAGGGTCCGGTCAGGCTCTGGCAGTGCTCTCAGCCACACTGGCACCATCAGGAGCCATCAGAGCAGTTTGTGGGCCCATTCTTCTTGCTGCCCAGGCAGGTCGTCTCTGCTCGCTCCTTGCCTGGGCTTTCCCATGCCAGGGTCCACTGGATGATCTAGTCCTCCAGTGGGTGCTTTGAAGGCAGGATTAGATCCTCCCTGTATCCCTGGGGAGATGCTGCTGAGGTGAGGGAGCTGTGAAGCAGGTCGAGGGAGGCAACTGCTGCGTCCTCTTCACCCCGTGCATGGGATAAGACTTTTGGAGGCTGCAGCCGTGCCCCTGCCCCACTGCAGGAGCTGGTGCCATGGTGGGTGGGAAGGGGCTAGAGCATCTCCAGGCCAGGTCGGCCATGCACCCTGTGATGGGGGGACGGCGCTGTGGCTCACTCAAACGCCTACACCCAGGGACCCCAGGGTGCAGGGACACCTGAGGCTGGTGGGGACTGGGGAAAATGGGTGACATCCTTCTCAAGTCAAAGATGCTCCTCGCCTGCATCCTTCAGCCCTGCACCGGGCAGCATGGAGCCCACCCGGCTGTGCTTGTGGGGCTCCGTAGCCACAGCAGAGCCCATTCCTTGGTCCCAGAGCAGCACAGGGCAGGCACCTGTAGGACTTTAGGCCACCAAAGCAGCTCATGGTGGTCTTGAGGGAAGCACCTGATGCGGCACACATAACACGCCATGTAGCGGACAGTGCCTGCAGTGGCATTGAGGGTCCACGTTGTCCTCGTCTGCGTGTCTCTGGCCAGTCCTTGGATCTACTGGAGCCATTGGGTTAGTCACCCAGTGCTCCCATCCCACCAGGTTCACAGCCACTGTTCCCTGCAGTCCCTTCACCTCTTGTCCTTGCCCTTGGGGCCAGTGCCTGTGCACCAGCTGGAAACGCTCTCCGTGGCGTCTGCCCCTGGCACGGGCATAACCAGGGCGGCACCAGGATGAGCGTCCCATCCCTGCCAAGAGTCCCAGAAGCAGACCAGGCACCTCAGTGATGGTCGTCCTCCATCATGGCAGCCCAGGTCGCACACAAAGGACGCTGAACTTGCTAGAAACCGCGCTGCGTTCACCACGTGAGCTATTCGCACCGAGTTCCCACCGCAGACTACGGCTCCGCTCAGCGCCAGACCGTTTCAGAGACCTTGTTCAGCCTGTGATGGGTTTAAAGTTCAGGAAAACAACATGTGGGCCTCGGGTGCCAGCACCAGGATGACTTTCTCCTCCCTGGGGACTCTCCGTGCATCCCTGAGCAGTCCCACTACCCCAGGACAAGCTGCCGGGGTTGCGGTGGGGCTGGGCATCCCGAGCACCACCGATTCCTTCTCCCAGGCTGAGCCAGGGCAGGAGGACGGAAATCAGCCAGGCATGGGGGAATAACCCGGGATGCTTCATGCTGGAGGAGATTGGCACATTTGGGCAGCTCCGGGAGTCACTCCACGGGAAAGGAAGCTTGGGGGGTCCCTGAGAATGCGTTTTTAGTACCACTTCCATGCCCACCCCGTATCTCGGCTCCAAGTGCCCTTGCTCCTGCACGGAGTAGGCTGTTGTCCAGGAATGCTGCTCCAGCGGGTCCTCAGGTGTCCCCAGCTGGGAATCCCCAGGGAACCCCTGCTTGGGGAGCCAGAGAAGCTCTGGGCCAGTGGGACGGGGTTTGTAACTGGTTCCACTCCCCATCTGTGGTGCCTCCAGTGCCCGGGTGTCTCGGGAACCAGCTGGAAGCGAAGCTGGACAAGCCAGACGTGGTGAACTGGATGTGCTACCGCAAAACGGAGGATTATTTCACCATCTGGCTCAACCTCAACACCTTCCTGCCCGTGGGAGTCGACTGCTGGATCGACAACACCAGGTACCCCTCGCCCCGCCCTGTGAGCTCCCCGGGAAATGACCTACCAGGGGTCCCCCTCCCCTCTCCTCCCCCCTGGCCATGACCTGGCACACTTGGAAAAACCACGGGAGTGCCACGGGACCGGTTGGGAACGCAGCTGGCTGGCTCCTGCTCCTAGCGCCCGTCCCTTTCCCACGTCCCTGCCGTGCACTTGTGCCAGCCCCGGACCGTCCTCAGCACCCACTGGAGATGCTGTCACCCTGCCCGGGGCTCACAGGGCACGGGGACTGCCCCAGCGCACTCCATCAGAGCCTCCTGCCCTGAGATGCCAGGTGATTAGCGGGGATGCTGGCTGGGCATCTGTCCACTACCCCCTCCCCAGCCACATAAGCCTTGGAAACAGCCATCAAGGTCCGAGCTGCCACCCAACGATCTCCACCCCATCTGTTGGGGACACGGCTCTTTGGCTGCTCCCCGTCCTCTCCCCACAGGGTGGTGTACAACCGAACCTCTCGGAAAATGTCCAACGCCCCAGGGGTGCACATCCGTGTGCCTGGCTTCGGCAAGACCTATTCCGTGGAATACCTGGATCAGAGCAAGCTGGCAGGTGAGAGGAGACCCGTGGGAAAGGCAGCTTGGAGGGTCCCTGAGAATGCGTTTTTGGTACCGCTTCCATGTCCACCCCGTATCTCGGCTCCAAGTGCCCTTAGCTCCTGCACGGAGTAGGCTGTTGTCCGGGAATGTTGCTCCAGTGGGTCCTCAGGTGTCCCCAGCTGGGAATCCC